AAAGGCACATCCAGTTTCTTTCCAACTGATGTTGGTGGCGGTTTTGATGGGACGGCAATTGACGATTGCTGGCTCTGTGACTGTTTATTGTGACTGATTTTGTTAGCTGTGAAGTTGATCGGCTTGAAATATCCTGTTGGTTCAGTCAGGTTCCTTATTGCTACTGATCCCGATCCAGCTTGAGCCGCTCCTTGATATCTGCATGTGGTTCACACCAAATGGGTTATTTACTGGGCAACAGAGGAACATAAATACCTGATTCCGTATCGGAATTTTCCTTGGATCTGCGTCTGCGTCATCCCGGACAATGTGCCACTTTGGGCGGCTGCTGTGCCTCCTCCTCTAAACGGTGTTGTTTGGTTGTCACTTTCCAGCTCGTCATGTGGAGTAAACCCGATCTGAGCTTGGGAAGACGTCGGGCCAGGGCCATTCGCTTGAGCGTCCGCTAGTCCTCCTTTTTCGCTTGCTCTTACTTGAGTTTGCGTCCCATGTTGTATACCTGTCATCAACCGTAGTAGTATTAGTACCCTGATGATGAAGAAATATACATTATTATTATTATTATTATCATCTTACCAGACGTTTGGGCTGTGGATAAAGTATCACCTGATCCAGAATCAAGAGTAACCTGCGCTTGAGACTGCCCGGCTCCCCCTCTTCCTTGTGCACTACTTTGCGCTCCATCTTTTCCTCCAGCCACTTGAGTCAAAGCTCCCCGCTTACCATCGTCTGATCCAGCAGACGCACTGAACGACCCCGATCCTGAATAGGTTCCCGATACTTGGGACTGCGAGGTTCCGCCTTGGAACTTTCCATGCGCTTGAGCATTCGCAATCGTTTCGTTGTTGGTTTGTTTCACTGATGTTTGCACTTGGGAGTCGGCGTCGTCAATTGCTGCAAACACAACAGTCAAAGGGTGTTTACGTTGAACGTTATTAAACCACCTCCGGTTTGTCCCCATTGGCCTCCCGCACCTGCTCCGCCTGCTAATCCACCCCCTGCAACAATCCATTGGGTAGAACAATATGTTTTATTCATGAATTTAATGGTAATTATCACCTGCTCCTCCTTGGACATATTGTCCCGGAGGAACCACTCCCCCAGTGGTTCCTGTAGAGCCTGGTGTGTAACCACCTGCTGGCGGATAAGGGCCACCTGGATATGCCCCAGGTCCATAACCAGGACCGCCAGGTCCAACGCTCTGACCTCCTGGTGCAGCGCTCTGTCCTCCAGGTACATACCCTTGACCGCTAGGTCCATAAATTGGACCTCCAGGTGCATAACCTTGACCTCCAGGTGCTACACCTGGACCTCCCGGTGCATAAGATTGACCTCCTGGAGTATAACCTTGACCTCCCGGTGCATGTGATTGACCTCCTGGAGCATAACCTTGACCGCCTGGTGCATAAGTTTGACCTCCTTGTGCGCCCGGTCCATACAGTTGACTGCCAGAGCCTGCTCCTTGAACACCAGGTCCAGAGCCTTGACCGCCAGGTGCAAAACTTTGTCCTCCGGGTGCATAGCCTTGACCCCCAGGTCCGTATCCTTGACTCCCGGGTCCGTATCCTTGACTCCCGGGTCCGTATCCTTGACTCCCGGGTCTGTAACCTTGACTCCCGGGTCCGTATCCTTGACTCCCAGGTCCGTATCCTGGTCCTCCGGGTCCTCCAGGTGCATAGCCTTGTCCACCGGGGCCGACACCTTGACCTGCAAGTCCTGAGGGACCTACGATTGGAGGCTGTCCTGGATGAGTTGAAACTCCTGGTCCATATTGGCCTGGTGTAGTTCCTGGGGGGCCAGCAGCTTCAGTTCCTACGACAATACCAGAGCCCATAGAAGTATTTTTTATTAAAACGTCGTTTCCTTTACCTGGTGGAACCCATTGGGCGTTAGAAAAATGACTTCCGCCTAATGCTCTTCCTGATTGAGCAAAACGTAATTTAGCGCGCTGTAAGCAAACTTTTTAATTTAGTTCTACCTGCTTCACTGGAACCGCCTATAGTACTGGCACCTGGTTGAATGGCCCCTGTTCCTCCCGTACTTCCAGCGCCTACAAATCGAGTGTACTTTCGAAAAATGTTTACAAGGAGCCCTTGGTCCTCTCTATTGACTAGCTCTGTTTGCTGTTGATTCAAGTACTCATTCTCTTACCTGCTGGTGAGCCTGGATACCCTCCTCCTGGCGCTCCTGGGTAAATTCCAGCGCCGGGCCCAGTAGGTATTTGTCCAGGTGCATAACTTGAAGGGTATCCCGATACACCTGGCGTGAATCCTGAAATTATCACGTGTATTAGTCCTTAAGTTTAAGTAGGAACTTTGCGGAATATTCCTCTCCTGATTGGAGTGTTTTTTAAATCTCTTATGACTGGACTTTGAACAGCTACATTTCCGCACGAATAGAAAATTTCCCGTATTAATGTCCTACCTGCTGGCAAACCTGGATATCCAGGGTAATAACCAGTGGTTGGACCAGTCTGACCAGGAGTATAGCCCGCCCCTCCTGTGGTTCCGGGTTTTTGCAACTCCCCAGGGCCTGGTCCATAACCTGAGCCAGATTGAGTTGCAGGTCATTTCAACTGGAGTTTTTGGGCATATTTTTTAATTACCTGGTTGGACGCTGGATGGTCCTGGTGCGTACGATCCAGGGCTAACTCCGGCAGGTGCTTGTCCAGGTATATAAACGCTAGGATGTCCTGGATGAGTGGCCGCGCCTAGTTCCGATCCGGGTTTCTGCAATTCTGCCGGCCCCGTGCCATATTCTGGAACTGTTTGGTACAGACCCGGTGAACCGGGAGCGCCTCCAGTGCCTGGTCCATAACCTGTGTGGAAATGTTAACTATGAAACGCACACGCGAAGACAAAAGTCCATAATAAATTATATAATAACAAACAGAAACATTCACCCCTCCCAAGTGCTGCACGTAAGAGCTTTAAGTTCTAAAAATAAGAGTCACGACATACCAAATAAGAAAAAACAGAACGAAACAACCAGTATACTCAAAAAATTATCTGCCGATATGGAACGCGACCTATATGAAGGACAGAAAAGAATCTAGAATATGTCAAGGAATAGAAAAAGACCAGTTAACAATTATATCCAAATTTCAAAGATCACTACTGAAGACTGGGAAAAACACTTTGAACAACTCTACCGTAATAAAGAGGAAATCGCGGAGACCAAGGAGACACCCACAACTGAAGAAACACCACCAACTTGGCAGATACCTATAGAGAAAATCAAACAAACGGCAACCGCTCTAAAAAACAGAAAATCACTTGGTATAGACGAGATAACGAACGAAATAATCAAGTATGGAGGGGATGCACTCATGGATGAATTAAAAGATTTTTACAATAAAATATTATATCTACAAAAAGTACCTTCAGAATGGAAGGACAGCATAACAACCCCAATCTTCAAAAAAGAAGAGAAAACAGACCCCAAAAACTATAGAGGAATTACCCTTCTCAGCACAAGCTGTTGACAAAAATATTGGCAGAAAAAGTGACCAGCACGGGAATATGTGAGGAGCAGCAAGGACACAATAGATCCACTATAGATGCCATATTCATACTCCGCCAAATAGCCGAAAAAGCTATTGAATTCAACAAACCGGCGTTCATGTGTTTCATAGATCT